AGGAAAGCAACACTTCACATGCATTGTCCTTTGCCAAATTAACCCATCATGATTTGGTAAAAATGGGTTGGGGAGATAGCGCAGTGGTCTAAGCACCTGCCTGGCAAGCACAAGGACCTGGGTTTGATCCCTGGCTGAGATAGGAGGATCACGGAGGGTCTCTAAGCTACACAGCGAGACCCTACACCAAATAAAGAAAGGAAAAAAGAAAATGATTTAGTAAAAATGAGACTCGGACCATGAAACCAGTTATCAATAAGAAGGAATCACTCATTTTCAGAAATCTAATTTTTCTGTTAAAGGTCCCTTCAACACCTACAGCCAGAAACACAAAGGATAGTAAAAATTGAAGGAAAAACTGTTTTTCCCTACCTTCTGGGCTTGCACCAGCATCTCAAAAAAAACAGAAAAACCCCTTGCGGAGAGAAGAATCTGCTCCTTCCAACAGCTGTCCCGGTCACCGGAGGCATGCTCCAGATACCAGCGGTGCTGCTGGCTCACCTTCTTCACTATCACCTGAAATGCAAAAACAGAGGCATGAGCCCCGAACCAGGTCACTGGAAAACAAGCCCAGAAACAGGCTGTCTCAAAATGAAAGGAAGCAAACAAGAGCAGGCGAGGGAAGGCACAGGGGCCTACCACAGAGGGCACAGAAAGCTAAAGGAGAGAGAGGTGAAAGAGCTGCTCAAGACACCTCTTCCCAGGGCCAAACTCACCCCCTGTTCTCTCAGCATTGTCCAGATGTTGGGCAGGGCCTGCCTCAGCACCAGCTGCACCTCATAGGCCTGGAACCCTGCACAAGGAAACACGACAAATACAGACCTGGAGCAGCAACACAGCTTCTCCACAAGAGAAGCTGGAGGACAGGAGCTGCCGACAGATGCTGGAACACAGGGCGAGTGTGTGGAAAGGCAGCTCTCGGGCCCCCAAGCCCATGAACCACATGATGTCACATGGACTGTCACAATGTTCCAGGGAGCATTCCCAAGTTCCTGATCTCAGGGACATTCAAATTGGGGGCTGCAAAGAATTTTGGTTTCAGTGGATTACAGTCACTGACATTAGCCATGTTAGAAATTAAAACTCTAGGGCCAGGGAGATAGCTCAGTGACATATGTGCCTGCCTCGCAAACACAAGGTTCCAAGTTTGATCCCAGTACCACAAAACAAAGAGAAAGTAAAAAAGAAATTAAAATTCTAGGTTTAATAAAATTTCAATTGTTGGGCTAGGGAGACAGCTCAGTAGAATAAGCTAGGTCCCAAGTTCAGTCCCTGGTACCACAAGAAAAAAAAATCAATTTTTACATTTATGAAAAAACTATGTTTTAAAAAATTAGCCAGAAGAGGCCTGGGAAATGGCTCAGTGGAATAAGCGCTTCCCTGGCAAGCACAAGGACCTGAGTTCAATCCCCGGTTCCACCAAAAAAAAAAAAAAAAAAAAAAATTAGCCAGAAGAATGTGACACAGCTCCAGGCATAGTGGCACATGCATGTAATTCTAGCTAACAGAGGCAGAAGAATCATAAGTCCAGCCTGTGTACCTTAGAGACTGTGCCTCAAAAAGTAAAAGGGGTTGGAGATGCGGGGAGTAGCATGCACCTGGGTTTCACCCCCAGTACTGCAATTTTTAAAAAGTGTGACATTGTTTCACATTTCTGCACCTAGCTGAAACCACATCTGCTTTTGCATTTGATCTGCTCATTTTCTGTGATACATGCTGCAGTCACTGCAGTATACAGAGAAAACCCAAATGGGTAGGTAAATGGACAGGGAAGAGATAACCTTATCAATGACTTTAGTGCTCTTACTACTATGTAAATTCAAAATATGGTAGTTGACTGTTTTATGCAATCTAAGCCCATTATTAATAAACTTTCTAGTACTGTAATATTAAATTTCACTGGCCTAACTTCTATTCTGAATAGTTTTCTTCCCCAGCACTAGAGATTGAAACCTTTGCACTGAGTTATATCCCCCAGCTCTTTTTTTTTTTTTTTCTTCTTGCACTTCAAAACAAAGCCACTAAATTGCCCAGACTGGCCTTAAATTTGAAATCCTCCAGCCTTGGCCTCCCAGGGCAGGGACACAGGCATATGCTAGCACACCCAGCTCCTTGAATGGATTTTTTTAATCATGATTTTTTAACAGTATACAGTGGTTGCTAGGAAGACAATGGTTTGCAAAGTTATGCACATCTTTCAAATGTTAACACATTTTACTAAACAAAACCAACAAAAGACATTTGTACTCATGAGCACTGATTTTATCAGAAAGACTTCAATGTTAGAAAGCAGTCAAGCTTATGGAAGGCAGATTCAAGTTTTTCTAACTCTTAATTGAAAGCTTGAATTTTATCACTAACACTCGAGTCCTTGATGTTACAGGCCTATCTTTTCCACTGAGAAAATTACTGTAGAATACTCAAATTTAAATGTCCACAATAGAGGGGCCGGGGAGATGGCTCAGTGAAATAAGCGCTTCCCTGGCAAGCACAAGGGCCTGAGTTCAATCCCCGGTTCTGCCAAAAAAAAAAAAAATTAAATGTCTACAACAGGCCGGGGAGATGGCTCAGTGGAAAGCACTTTGCTGGCAAGCGCAAGGGCCTGAGTTCAATCCCCAGTTCTGCCAAAAAAAAAAAGGTCTACAACAGTAGGCCCAGGAGACTAAGTGTTTGCCTAAGGGACCAGCTTCGACCCCCCAGTACTACATGCCACACTGGCCCTGATGCTCCCACACCAAGATCAGGTGTAGTGGCACCCACTTGTAATCCCAGTGCTGGGTTAGGCTAAAAACAAGAGGATCGCTACAAGTCCAAGCTGCATAGTAAGACCTCGTACCAAATGCATTTAAAAAAAAAAAAAAAAAAGTTCCAAAAAAAAAATAAAACAAACCAGCTGGGGCTGATTATGTAGCCCAGTGGCAGAGCACTTACCTAGCATGTACAAAGCCCTGGGTTTGATTCTCAGCACTGGGAAAAACAAATACCAACAAACAACAACACAAGCAAAAAGAGCCTAATCCAGTTTTCAACTCTGAAAACTACAGAATGCTTTTTCTCAAGAGAACCACCGAAAAAAAAAAAAAAAAAAAAAACTCTTTCTCTCGTAGCAGGCGGCGGCGGCGCCTTCTTTTGCAACTATGGCCAAGATTAAGGCTCGGGATCTTCGAGGCAAGAAGAAAGAAGAGTTGTTGAAACAGCTAGACGACCTGAAGGTGGAGCTGTCACAGCTGCACGTCGCTAAAGTGACGGGCGGCGCGTCGTCCAAGCTCTCCAAGATCCGAGTTGTTCGCAAATCCATTGCCCGTGTTCTCACTGTCATCAACCAGACCCAGAAAGAAAACCTCAGGAAATATTACAAGGGCAAGAAGTACAAGCCCCTGGACCTGCGGCCCAAGAAGACGCGAGCCATGCGCCGCCGGCTCAATAAGCATGAGGAGAAGCTAAAGACCAAGAAGCAGCAGCGGAAGGAGCGGCTGTACCCTCTGCGCAAGTTTGCCGTCAAGGCTTGAGCGGCGTCACAATAAAACTCAAACTCTGAAAAAAAAAAAAAAAAAAAAAAAGAGAACCACCGAAGCTGTTGATACACTTGTTTTTTTCCTATACTTGTACTAACATAGAATATTTAAAAGAACTCAAAGGTGGATACTTAAAGTATGAATATTTGACCTTCCTCTCCAAGGTTAAGTTGGCTTTTTAAAAAACTGATAATGAAATTATGCACTTTACATTAAAAAAAAAAAAGTGGCAACAAAGTATGCAATAACTACCACCACAACTGGATGATCCCAGGTAATTTAATATCTGCTAAGATGCCAGCAGGTGTAATCCCCATCCCTACAGGATCCAGGAAAATGCTGCAGTGAGAACTGTAAGTCTCAGAGACCAACAAAGTCCGCAGACTATGCTCTGAGAACTGCTGCACTAGGGCAGAGAGCGGGGTTAACAAAAGTCAGTAATAGAAAGCACTCAGGATGGAATCTACAGGACGGCTCCTGAATGAACTTGACTTCCTCAGTCTTGAAATTCAAAGTAAGTTGAAAGGTTTTGACTTTTGAGACGTCTGCTGAGAAAACACTGACATCATGCTCAATACATGGTGCGAGACCAGGATCTGTAGCTAACACGTTCCCCGGTTCTGGCACGTAACTGTGACCTGCCCCCATGTTCCCACATTGGGAGGACAGCCTGCTCCCTACCAGCAATATCAGGCAGAGTCATCTCGTCACCTTCTTCGGCCAGGTCCAGCCACTGTGTCACCTCATCAATCACCACCTTCACTTGGTCTTTATCCAGAGAGCTGCAAAAAGTCATACAATAGTGGAAATGTTGGAGAAATCCGCCCCAGAATCTTAGAACAGTCTTAAAAGAAAAGTTCCAGGGCTTGCTGGTGTATCATTGTGATCTCAGTTTTTATGAGAACACAATGTTCGTCAATTGTTCTCCAGGTCCTTTACGCAGTAAGAAGACAAACCTGGGCCTATCTTATTTCCAGGTTCCCTGTCTGCCCTGCTAAGAGTACAGAAAACACAGAAGGCTCTAACCAGTACTAAGCAGTGCTGTCAAGACCATTTCAGTTTGGAACAAAAGGAGAAAGGCAAGGGCTTTGTAAACCTTCTTCTCCTGGATCAAAGAAGAATATTCTATCAGACTGAAATCTTGATCCAACCTTTGAAAATAACAGATTAAAAATTCTAATTGCTAGGCAGGCATGGTGTCACACGCCTGTATACTCAGCACTTGAGAGGCTGAGGCAGGAGGATCACTACAAATTTGAGGCCAGTCTGGGCTGCATAGTAAGTCTGAGGCCAGCCTGAACTACACAATGAAACACTGTCTCAATCAAAAAAATAAAAAGTCATATTGCTGCCCGGCTTGGGGGTACATGTGCATAATCCCAGTTACTTAGGAAGCTGAGGCAGAAGGACTGCCAACTAGGCCAGCCTGGGCAACTTAGCAAGACTCCATCTCAATACAAATAAAAAAGAAAGTGCTAGGTAACTCAGTGGTAGAGAAACCCTGAATTTAATCCCCAGTACTGACAAAAAATAACATAGTTTTTCCATTACCAAAAAGAAAAAAAACTGTATTGTGGGGGGCGATAGAACGCTCCTGTTATATTTTCCCTTATTTGGGCAAGAAGTGCTGCAGCACCAATCCCCGCTTGCCTCGGCATCTTCCTGTGGACCTGGACCTCCACTACCAATCCACAACTAGTCCCACCCAACTGCTTCCACTATACAGCTATTTAGACCCTGCTCACTTCCTCAATAAACGAGACTTGATCAGAAAGCCTGTCTTGTCTCCGTCTCTCGTGTCTCTTGCCCTGTCTTGTTCATCCCTGTTCCTCCTCCAGGTCATTACCCCACGTCTCGACTCGCGGGCCGAGTCACTGTATTTTTATATAAAAAATAGCACCAAAGGGGCCAGGGAGATAGCTCATTAGAATAAGTGCTTGCCTGGCAAGCTCAGGGTCCTGAGTTCAATCCCTGGTACCAAAAAAAAGCACCAAAGATGGGGAGGGAAAAAAAGTGTGAACATTACACAAGATCATTATCTGGACCAAATTATGAATCATATTTCAGAGCTAATGGCTGTTGAATTTTTTCCCTGCCCAGTAAAGGCAAAAAAATCTAAAGCTCAAAGAGCTTAAATGACTACTTCAAAATCAAGTTAGTTGACAGCACTGATAGCCCTGGACCCTGTGGTCCTGACACCGTCTGCCAACTAATACTACGGTCCTCATTTGTCACTCCTGCATAGGCAGCACAAAGCTGCAGGGCCTAAGCATGGCATGGGGCCGAACAAAAAGGGGGCACAGATGAGTCTCCCACAGAGGGTCAGGTATGCTGGGCTGGAGCATCTAAAGCCTAGGCCCTGCATGACAGATACATCAAGGTTATCTGTGAGTCACCCTGCCAATCCCTGGAGCCCAACGTAACACCGTAAGAGCAAGTCCAACAAAGCGGTTTCCTCCACCCCAACCCTGGAACAAACTCTTATTTCTTTGAATAACAATTAAAAGCTTCTCTTTAGGTCTGCCAGAACACAGGCAGCCAGGGCTGGTGAGATGGCTCAGTGGTCTAAAGTACCTACTTAGAACAAGCTTAGCAAAGCAAAGGGACCAAAGCACAGGGACCAAAGCACAGGGACCATAGTTCAATCCCCCAGCACCACATGCCAGCCAGCCCCGCCCCCTGGTGGGCTGAGCTGGCCACACACACACACACACACATAAATAAAAAGACGTCCTACCTGCGAACTTTCCAGTTCCCTGTCAGGATACTATGCTTAATTTTCTTCTCCTGTTCTTCATTCATATATGGGATTCCCTTTTTGAGAAACTAAAAACAGGAAGCAAGTAAGTGAGAGGCAGCCTCTGAGGCAAGGAGCAACAGAGTGAAAGAAAGCGCTGGGCCTCCCATGAACAAGCAAGAAAGGAGACAGGCAACAGGAAGTGAGACAGGACTCTGAACACATGCTGCCCCTCCCTGAACACAGTACCTTGTTATAGTTGAAGCCATATTGATTCAAAAACTGAACACTAGATGCCTGGAAAGAAAATTCTGCATCCAAAATCCCAAATGTTGTAGGAAAGAGAAAGAAGTTACACGAATGGGCTGAATACCTATTAAAAAAGAAAGACAAAATGTAAGGAGATCAAAAGCAGCTAAAAGTAATTTTAAAACTAAAAACAAAAAACCCACTCTGGGGGCTGGGGAGATGGCTCAGTGGAATAAGCGCTTCCCTGGCAAGTGCAAGGGTCTGAGTTCAATCCCCGGTTCCACCAAAAAAAAAAAAAAAAAAAAAACAAAAAAAAAACCCACTCTGGCTCATAGAGCAGGTCTCTGTGGGCTCTTTCACCTAGGAAAGACTTGAATTCCCGTAGTGTTTCAAGTCCTGGCCAAAGGAAAAAGGCAACATTCTTACCCTTGAGAAATAGGGTCCATCACAGAGATGGGCCCGCAACAACCCCTCTGCCTGCCACTCAGTCCCCCTCCACCGCTGACAGATGGAAGCAGAAGCCACCTCAGCTAAATGCAGACAATACAAGGTCACCACAGAAAACACAGCAAACAAAGAAACTAGAAAACATGAGGAGAAACAGGCCCTACGCACAGGCCCATCCCCACAGATGGAACATCCTTGATGGCAGGACTTGTGAGCAAACTTCTCTCACAAAATTGCACAAGGGACCACTGAATGGACATCAGGAGCATGTAAGAAAGATGCAGGAGGCCAGGAATATCACTCAGCAGTACCGTTATTACCTGGCAAGCACAAGGTCCTGAATCCAATTCCTGGTACCTTCACTCCCTCAAAGAAAGAGACCCAGGGCAGAGGTGGCAAGGATGGGAGGGTAAGCTAGAATCGGCAGAGGACAGAACGAGTGAAAAGCCAGAGGAGAGCACACAGAGCACCTACAACAAAGTGACTCAGACACCCAGGAACAACCAGAAGGGGGCAGCTGTAGCACACACATGGGTAAGAGCTGTATGGTGTATACATACATACATGTTTGACTCTCCTTCAATACTGGAGAATACAGATAATCCTAGAATGAAAACAGAAGTAATGAATGCCAAAGAAAAGCTGCCTGGGGTTAACCACAAAGACAAAACCCTTGCAACAGTGCTTTGCATACAGGTACCATGTGGGCATAGAACAAGAGCATCCTCTGGAGGAGCAAAAGGACAGATTTGGAGTATGACAACTGTCAGGCTGAAATTACTAAAATGTAACTGTGGCCTTTACTTCAAACACAGAAATCTTACATTGACATGGTAACAGTTTAAAAGTAACCAGCAGAAACACCAAAAACCATGAAGACTTAAAAACTTAATTGTTTATAATACCTACATGACTAAAACAGATCATATTCAAAGTAAAAATATTTCAGAATGAGAGAATAGAGAGCTGGTGAGATGACTCGGTGGTCTAGGGCACCTACTTAGAGCAGGTTTAGCAGAGCACAGGGACTGCGGTTCAATCCCCCAGCACCACATGCCAGCCAGCCCGCCCCCTGGTGGGCTGAGCTGGCCACACACACACACACACACACACACACATATAAATAAATTTTAAAAAGAATGAGAGAATAGAAACAGTATAACAAAGTGCCATTTTTCTATACTTCTCAAAGAAAAATAAAATAATTAAGAAAAACAGTAGAGGACTAGGATAGAAAGGAAAATATAAATACACTTGTGTGACTGGTGCAAGGTCCCAAGTTCCATCCCTGGTACCAAAAATAATAATAATTAATACACTTGTGAACAAATGTTCAGTGTCACTCATAGTAAAAGAGGTCTGTAAAATGTGGCCTATGCTTTTCCTGTATATAATATTTTATGGCAATAGATACAATAAATGGTTTATATACTAACGACAGCCAATTTCACAAAGGCAGGACTGAGTACGTAGTTGTAACAGAAATCACATTTCCAGCAAAACCTAAGATACTTCTTTCTAACTGTGCATAGAAAAAGTTGTTAAAGGGCTGGCCAAACAGCTCAGCAGATTAAAGCACTTGCAAGCAGGCGCAGGGGTTGGGAGTGATCTCGCCAGCCCTGCCCCAGGGGCCTGCTGAGACGGCGATTGAGACTGGGTGTGGTGGCGTGCGCCTGTAATCCCAGCTCTTGGGAGGCTGTAAACAGGCAGACAACTACGAGTCCAATCTAGTAGTAAGAGCCTGAACACCCTGTAGACCCTTCCCTAAAAAACAAAAAAAAAAAAAAAAAAAGTACATTCATTATTGTTAGTATAAATTTCTAAAATTTAAATTTAAATTATACAAATTTCTTTGTGGATGGTTAATAGGAAGAGTAGTCTGGCAATGTACATTAAAAAAGTGGTTTGAGGCAGGACTGGGAATCAAACTTGGGGCCTCAGCACATGAGGCAAGCACTCACATTGTGGAACTACATTCTCAACCAGTATACATTAATATATTGATAGACATACTCTAGAACTGCAATTCCACTGCCAGAAGCTTCCAAAATGCAAATATTCACAAAAGCATAGTAATACATAAATTCTAAGCTAGTCAATGCAAACTTGTTTAACTGTACACAGGGTTAAACAAAAGTATGAATTACTAAAAGATTAAGTCAACCAACACATTCAGTTGGTAATGGTACACTAAAAATGCACAAGTCTGGGCTGAGGGTGTAGCTCAGTAGAATGCCTGCCTAGAACTCATGAAGCCCTGGGTTCAACGCCCAGCACCAAAAACAAACAAAACAAAAGGATATCATCAATTGGAGGGGGAAAAAAGATACAAACTATTCATAAGCTGCTGTTTGCATAAATTTTCTTTTTAAAAAAAAGTATGTTGGGCATGGGGTACGTGTTTGTAATCCCAGCACTTGGGAGGCTGAGGCAGGACTGCTGTGAGCTAGAGGCCAGCCTGACCACATAAGCAAATTCAAGGCCAGCTTGTACTACACAATGAGCCTCTGCCTCAAAAAAAAAAAGCAAAGAAAACATATATACACGTTTTACTTTAAATGGAACAGGTGCAGCTGAGGAGGTAACTCGGCAGTCTAAGCACCTTCCTGGCAAGAGCAAGGACCCAAGTCTGATCCCAGGTGTCCTGCCAGCCCCAAAACTGGGTGTGGTGGCACACACCTGTGATCCCATCACTGGGGAGGCTAAGGTAGGAGAATCACTACATGCCCAAGCTGTGTAGCGAGATCCTGCACCAAATGCATAACTTAAAAAAAAGATGCAACGGGTGATGGTTATTTCTTAACTCTTATTCAGGCACAGAAAATAATCCCACTAAATTCTTCCACTTGCTTTAAAGTGCTGGTCCCATAAACATAATACTTTAAAAAGATACCTGGTATCAGGCTGGTGAGATGGCTCAGTGGTCTAAAGCACCTACTTAGGGCTGGTGAGATGGCTCAGTGGTCTAAAGCACCTACTTAGAACAAGCTTAGCAAAGCACAAGGGACCGCGGTTCAATCCCCCAGCACCACATGCCAGCCAGCCCTGCCCCCTGGTGGGCTGAGCTGGTCACACACACACACACAATAAATAAATAA